CACACACACACACACACACACACACACACACACACACACATTCCTGCTGACCTTTTCCAGTTGTCCAATAAACTTGGACAAAGGCTCTTTGTTCTGATTTAATGACAATGTCAGGTCTCTGGCTCTCCATTGTGTCTGCTATGGCTCCTGTTCCCATAGGTCCTAATCTGGATTGTATAAAAATCTCTGACCCCTGAGGATGGGTTCCTTTTTCTTACTTATTCTTTGTTGGTGTTGAGGTTTCTCAAATTCTGGTGCTGGATCTGCTCAGTTTAATGGTGAGAACTAGCTAATCTCTGTGTGGATTAGTGAGACTACCTATTCTCTTTGTGGATAGACTAACACACCAGATTCACATATTTCTGCCTATTCACATGGCAATGTCAAAGTCAAATGGCTAGGAAAGCCACTTTTAACAATAAATCCTTAACAACACAAGTGGTTAGAAGCTATACTGTAATCCCAAAGACACTCACTTCAAACCCACCAGCTGCTGTGGTGAAGATAGGCAGGCAATAATCTCTTGTGTGATCTACTGCCTCTGAAAAGCTGCCAGAGAGCGATGTCACACAACAACAATTACAAATGTATAAACCCCCATCTGTAACCACATAGATTACCAAAAGGGCACAATGGTAAGTACTATGCTTCTTTGACCTTAACAAATGAATTTCCTATCATGAAAAGCTAATGATAAATTGAATTTATACTGAGAGTAAATGAAAGTTAAAGCTTCCTTTAAATTTAAAATTTTAATAAAAGTTACTAAAGCTTTATTTATACGCAGACATCATGTTGGGAAAGGTCAACTAATGAAATAAAGACTCTCAGCAAGGTGGACTGACACAGTGACAAAAGCAATGAACTTGAGCATGATGGAGACTGTTATGGTGGCCAAGGACAGGGCAAGGCTCAGATCTGTTATTCATAGGGTTGCTATTAGCTGTAGTGGAATCAAAGGCACCTAGCAACAACAGCATTTAAATGTTTCAACATTTATTTTTTAATATGTTTATTGGCCACTGACCTCCTTTCTAGGATGTAAACAATAAATTATTTCAAAGATACATATATTAAGTCATGAGAAGAAAGTCCTGAATACAAGGGTATGCAATGCATCCCAAACACAAACACTGAATGAGAGAAAAGAGCTCCTAGTAGAGAGTAACCATTTGCACCATTATAGACTTTGTAACTATATTTTTAAGACAAAAATGAAAAAGTTCGTTTTAGCAAAACACTTTTTGTTGATACTTTATAATGATTTCTTGTTTGCTAATCAAATGCAAATTATTTAAGGAAAAGAACAATTTCATTTCCTTGATAGAAAATATGTTTAGTGATATAAGGTAAATCACTTTCTCTTCTTTTTATACTGTAATTCTCTGGTGGCCTATTGATACAAATCTTGAAAGCTTGCAGTTCAGATCCACCAGTTGTTCCTAGGGAGAAAGATGGGCAATCTTTCCCCATGAGATTTACTGCCTCAGAAAACCCTCTGGAGGATCAGCTATGGGTCAGTTCCAGCGCAATGGTAAATGACAAAAAGATAAAATGCATGATTATACAAATAAATAGTTCATCAATGGTTATGCTATTTTGATCTGATTTTTTTCTGGTATAGTAAAACCTGGATGATTACTCATAATTACATATTTTTGGTAGATTTTTCTTTTATCCCATTTTAAAAACTTTTCAGAATATATTTTGAATAGAAATGAAATAAAAATGTAAGATGTATTCTAAAAATGTAATTGTTGTTGTTAAGTGCCATCAAGTTTGCTAAGACTTATAGAGATGCCATGAGCAACAGATCTGAATCTCGTCCTCTTATTCACCATCCTCCTGATTGCCTCCATAGTTTAGCCCATCGTCACTGTCAGGACATCATGCTAATAGTTTTGTTCTCTTTCTCTGACCTCCACCTTTTCCAGCATTACAACTTTTACCAAAAACTAGTCCCTGCTGACAAAATGCCCAAAATGTGGGAGATGGAGTTTCACCATCCTTGCCTCTGAGGAGCACTTTCGTTGCACTTACTCCAACATTGACTTGTCTGTTTTTTGCCAGTTCAGAGGTTACAGAGGCCTATTGTCCAATGGCATGTTTCTAAAGCATTCACTCTTCTTTTGTCATCCTTATTCATTTTCCAACTTTCAGATGCATAGGAAGCAATCGAAAACACCAGGGTTTGGATCAGATAAAACTTAGTCTTTAAACTGACATCTTTGTTCTTTAGATAAGTCCTTGACAAAAGATTCCCTCAGTGCAACACAACTTCTGATTTCTTGTTTGCTGCTATTATGAGGGCAGATTGTGGATACAATTAATATCGAATCACTGATGTCAATCTTTTCTCCATATGTTATGACATTGTTTATTAACTCAGTCGTGAGAATTTTTGTTTTGTTGATGTTGAGATGTGATTTATATTGAAGATTAGTGTCTTTGATCTTCTGTAGTAAGTGAGTCAAATTTTCCTCACTTTGCATGTAAGATTGTGTAATATGCGTAATATAAATTATTAATGAATCTTCCTCCTATCTTGATGCCACATTCTTCTTTATATAATACAGGTTTTCTAACAATTTGCTTAACATATAGACTTGATAGATATTTTTTAAATTTTTTTTCTCTTTTTTATTATTATTACATTTTATTAGTTTTAATGAACATTTACAGAGATTTTGGGTTTTCATTCATTCATTGTTGCACTTTCTCCACCCTCCTCCCCAGTTCGTTCTTCTTTCCCCCCCATGTCTGTTTTAATTGTCCAATTGCCACAGTGCTTGTCAAAGCCAGTTCTGATTAATCTCCTTTGTCATTGTGTGTCCCTTACCATTCCCTATCACTCCTTCCTGAGAGAGACTTCACCGTGATTCATAAAGAAAAGGGGATGGCGTATTCTCTTAGCTACTTCCTGCTGAAAAGGGACGCTGTGGGTTTCAGGGTGAAGATCTCCTCTCACTACTCTAAAGGGCCCCTTTGGCAGTAGGAAACACATAGACTATTATGGAGATTGATTTTGGAATTTAGATGCACTGTTATCAATTGTGCTTAGCCGTACATGTTCATATCCTTGAAGATGTATCATGGAAGTGTTGCAGCCTAGAAGATACAAATTTAACTAACAAGTTAAAAGTGCATGAGTCAAAAATTGAAAAGCAATAATATTCTGAGTAGAGGTTCTAATAGTGGCACAAATCAAGTTACAGAGGTAAGGTGGTTCTATTGCCATCCTTACTCTAACTTAATTCTTTTTAAAAAAAATTTAAATTTGTTATTAATTTCAGTGAAAATTTACAGAGGCTTTGAATTTCCATTCATTCATTGTTGTAGATCTGTCCCCTCCGAAGGCTCCCCACCACCAGACATTACCCTCTTGGAAAAGTAAAAGAAAAGTTTCTTTCATTATTTTACAAACCCTCCCCCAGGTCCACTCCACCATGTAGCCATCACTCATCCTGTCATGACAGAAATACCTAATCACATATCTCCTTTAAACAGTTTTCTCCCTTCTCTGCTTCAGTGCAGTATACATTATTGAATCCATCTTACTCAGTCTCTCCCCAACCCCAAGGACAGTCCCATTCTACAACAGTGGCACCATGCAATATTTCTCCTTTTGTGACTGGGATATTTCACTCAGCATAATGTTCTCCAGAGTCAACCATTTTGAATAATATTGCATGAGATCCTTATTTTCCAATGCAGCATAGTATTCCATTATGCGAATATACCAGAGCTTCTCTAGCCATTCGTTTGTTGATAGGCACTTAGGTTGTTTCCAACTCCTTGCTATTGTGAACAAAGCTGCAATAAACATGGGTGTTCAAGACTTAATAGATATTTATAAAGGATACAACTCTGATGTTCACCTTTCCAGACTTTATATTATGAAATTTAACTGTCTCCTGTAAACAGTGTGGTAGACATGGATGTGGACGAATCTTATCTCAACTGACTTTCCAAGAAGCAGCAGTACCCACCCACAATATCAGCATTATGACATTGATTCCTTTACACTTGATTCTCTACACTTCCACTTCTATAAATTCTAACATCAACAGTTCCCATCATGGCTCTTGATACTCTATCTCTGGGTATATTCAAATGTTTTAATGATCATAAACAACTCAAAGAACCATACTCATGGTTATTTGGGCTTATTAGGGAAGGTAACAGGTTACATTTCAGTAGAACCACAAAATTCTTCTTTTCCTCCTTTCTCCCTTCTACCATATAACAGTTTTGATTTAAAGCTTTTCTGTCTAAAATCCCAGTAGTATTTTCTGTACTAACAGTAACCATATAATGATCAGACTCCTTGAAGTTGACTGTTTGGTGTTCAAGTCACCTTTTACCCATTTCATCCAGAAGGGTATATTATCATTGCTTAGATATTTAGTACTCCTTGTTTCATTACTTTTCAAGGTTTTTTAAATTATTTTAATCATAACTTGTAAACATATAAAGCTTATTCATTTGCTCAATGAGAAAAAGGATGCCTTCTGGGAAAGAGGAGAAGAGAAAGTGAAAATGAAGAACAATTTATTTTCTTAAAACATTTCTCATTCTTTCTCTTATTTTTATTACAGGAACAACCTGGGTCAGTGAAATATTGGATTTGATCTATAATAATGGAAATGCAGAGAAGTGTAAAAGGGATGCAATATACAAACGGGTACCATTCATGGAATTAATAATCCCAGGATTTGCAAATGGTATTTTTATTAAATATTTCTCCTCAAAATAGAAGTGAATACTTTATATAAATCCGCCTACACGATAATATCCTGTGATGTTATACTGTGAAATAATGTAGATAGAGTTACATGGTTGGGATGGTGGTTAAAAGTTGAGTTGTTAACCAAAAGTCAGCAGCTCAAATCCATCAGTTCTTGAACCCACAAAACCTAAACCACAGTAGAAAGAAATACAACTCTACTTGGGTATAAATTTACAGCTTTGACAACTCTATGAGATAGTTCTTCTTTGTCAGATTAGGGTAGCTGTAAGAATTTGACTTTACAGAAATAAGTTGTTTTAGTTTGGTATATTAGAACAGTCAGAAATTAACTATGACAATGACTTGATTTTACTACTACTCACACAAAGATAATACAAGCATAAGAACAGATACTTCTAAAAATTTTATTATTTTGTGTGTGTGTACCGTAAAATCGGATCTGACAGCTACAGGAGGAAATTACCCCTCTTTCTCCAGCAGAGCATCTGGTGGATATGAACAGTGAAGAACAGATTCTTATGTTTTATTCTCTTAATAAGACAGGAAAATTCACCACTGAAATATTGCATAAGTTTTGCTTAGAGAAAACACAATGTATATAGATTCATGTGTACTTAAAGCAGATAATTTATAAAATCAAAGAAAAGTTTTACAATATTAAAACTTCTTAAAGATAGACAGGAAGCTATCTTAGATTTCCTTTAATCTTATATTTTGAATATCAGAAAGCTATAGAGGGATCTCAAACTTTCCTGGTTCAATTTCCTCATTGTGATCACAGAGAATTAAAAAGAAATGAAAGAAAACTTTGGACATCTTGACTCTTGACCCACTTCCCTTTCCGTTGTATCAAGGTATTACATCTAAGGACTTTATAGACACTTAGGGGGACAGTAAATTTCTACTGTAACTAAAAAGCTGTTTAATTATGTAGAATTAAGTTTTTAATTGTTTTTGTGGTAGATTTTAAGCATATATATGGAGTATAACCATTTGAAACTATATCCTGATTAAAGTTCATAAAAACCTCCATTCCACTGTTTACTTTTATGATTTCACATTTATAATGCAGCTTGTTCTTTTTTGAAATATTTAGGCATTGAACTGCTGAAAACGATGCAGTCTCCTCGATTGGTAAAAACACACCTACCTGTTCAACTTCTTCCTTCTTCATTATGGAAGAATGACTGCAAGGTAGCACATTTTTAAAAGTCATCCTTGTTGGAATTGCATCTGTTTTTTTTTTTTTTCTAAGCTTTACAAATACAGATATAGTATTGCAACCTGTGAATAAATTAATTATAAAAATTATATAGATTGAATATCTAATATATATTATGAGAGCAAATAAACCAGTGCGGTATTGGCCTCCATACAGATGGTGTAACAAGATTAGTTCCCAAACACTGACTAGCAGATTTTCTTTTCTCAGACATGTTCATCAGTCCGACTAAATCCCTGCACTCACAGCTTTTAAATAATTACCTTTAAAATTATCAGATTATAATTATCAGATAATATTTGAATTTATTTCTCCTGGCTCATCACAATTCAAAATGGCAAATGTAATGACCTATAACTTATAGATTTATTTTGGCTCCTTTCAAAATAATTTTATATTGAAATACAGCATTTAGGGATCAATGTGCATATATCATAAGGATATAAGGATAAATTTTTATTAAGTGAGCCTATCTCTGAAGCCAAAATCCAGATTATGCAAGAAAACATTACCAATACTCCTAAAAGATCAATTCTTGCACATATCCAGGCAGTTGCATTCATAAAGGAATCATTATTATCTTGAATGATTTCACCATAATTAAAGTTTCCTGTTTTGATTGTAATCATAGTAGTATCAGTTACCCTGGTGTTGATTCTAACACATAGAGACTGTAAATGTGTCAAAAGAAATAGTGCTCCATAACATTTTCAACAATATTTTGGAGGTAGAAACTCAAGACCAACTTTTCTGGTATCTTTGGATATACTCCAACTTCCAGCCTTTCAATTACTTAGTAGATGAGCCTGTTTATAGTTATTTCACAGGGATGTTTAAGATTCAGTGTTATAATTCTTTCCTTCTATGCAAGACTTCTGGCTTCAATACTACCAAACGGGCCATTTATTCAGCCGCTTTCCTCTGTCAGTGAAGGTTTACATACTGGAGATAACTCAAGACTCTGCATTGTTTTATGCATGTGTTTTCTATGAATTGAGGACTGACTATGTGACAAAAGGAACAGGTTAAATCATACAACTTGTGCAACATAGTTTTTTCAAATTATTTATTTTGTGCTTGTCATTTTATTGTTTTCTTTAATGTAAGGGGTGGATCACGAAAAGTTATACCCTGAGTTAAAGCAGCCTCATGACCTGAATGTATAGTTTATTATACTTGTAAATGCAGATATAAAAATGGAACTCTGCAATCTAAGCACATTATGTGCTTTGTTTAATTTCTGTGAATACTACTGAGATTCTTCTACATGTTAGTCCCTCACTGTGCCTATATAATGCAGTAACTTTAAAAACTCAGTGTTGCTGGAAACAAAGGAGGATCTTTCAGTGATTTAGAAGAGGCCATGGTCTTTGCAATCACTTGTTATGCATCAGAGAGTTGGACAATGACTAGGGAGGATAGAAGGAAAATTGATGCCTTTGAGCTGGGTGCTGGAGAAGAGTATTGAATGTAACATGGACTGCCAAGAAAACAAACAGATTCATCCTGGAGAGGGTTAAACTAGGCTACTCCTTGGAGGCAAGGATTCTGGGGCTTCGTGTGACATACTTTGGACACATCCTTGGAGCGGGACAACATGCTTGGTAGGGTGGAGGGACAGTGAAGGAGGGGAAGACCCTCTATGAGGTGGATTGATTCAGTGACTGGGGTAATCGGGATGGGTGTATCAGAGGCAATGTGATTGGCACAGGATAGAGCAGGGTTTAGGGCTATTGTATGTACATAGGGTCGCTATGAGTCGCAAGTGACTCAACTGCACATAACAAAAGAGCTGTGGGTGACATTACTGGTAAGTATATTTGTTTTCTCCTAGACACAAGAGCCTACTATTTGGTCCTAAAAGCCTTCTGAAGTCCCACCTCTTCTCACTACTAGTTGTTGGAATTGATGAAAAACCTCATAAGCAGTTCCTTACTTCACCTCTGCCTTGCATGCGGACTTCCGAGCTGTAAAACAACCCAGTGGTAGATGGAATTTGCTCCAGGACTTAAGAACAATAAATGACATAGTTGAGCCTCTAAAAAAAAAAACCAAAAAACAAGCCCTCAGTGTTCTCTGTTTTCTGTTGTATATGACTCTATAGACTACCTGGAAACACATAAAGAGACATATACATAAGGGGGAAAATTACATATAGGCAAATATAAGCACTCAAACACATTGTCATCAAGTCAGAACTGACTTGTTGACCCTGCAGTGTTTTTTCAGAGGTTGTAAATTGCATAGGAGGAGTTGCCCATATTTATCTCGTAGTTGCTTTTGTTGTTATGTGCCATTGAGTCACCTGTGATTCATAGTGACTCTACACACAATACCTCTGAACCCTGCCCTATCTTAAGCCAATCTCACTGCCTCCAACACACCTACCTCAATCTTAATTACTGTTCAATCCATTTTATCTGGGGTGTTTCTTTCCTGCACTGTCCCCCCACCCTTTCAAGAATGATGTCCTTTTCCAGGGACAAGTCCCTCCTGGTAGTATGCCCAAAGTATGTGAGACAGAACTTTAAAATCTTTGCCTCTAAGGAACAATTTGGTTTCATCCTCAATAGGACAGAACTATTTCCTCTCTTGGAAGTCTATGGTATGTTCAATACTATTCTCCAGCACCACAATTCAAAGACTTTGATTTTCCTTCTGTCTTCTTTAATCATTGTCTAGCTCTCTGATGAATAGCAAGTAATTTATAAAGTTGTGGCCTAGATAAGGTGTGTCTTAGTCTCTAGTCTGACATCTTTGCTCTTCAGCACTCTGGAGATGTCACTGACAACACATTTTCCATATACAATTTGTCTTTTGATTTCCTGCCTGTTGATGAGCAAGATTGTGAAATCAAGCAAGCTGAAATTGTTAACACTCTCAATCTCTTCTCCTTCTATCTTGGTACAATTGGTCCAGTGGTAAGAATCTTTCTTTTTCTAATACTGAGCTTCAATCTCTATTAAAGATTATGGTCCTTGAGTTTTTGCAACAAGTGCTTCAGGTCCTCCTCAGTTTCAGCAAACAAGGTTGTATCATCTGCATAACACAGGTTGTTGATGAATCTTTCTCTAATCCCGAAGCCATATTTATCCTTTTTAAAAGTTCAGCTTCCCAAAAGATCTGTTCCACATATGTTGTTGTTGTTAAGTGCTATCAAGCCATACGTGACTCATAGTGACCCTATGAATGAAAGTCCTCAACACTTGTGTGACTTTCATCATTTCTCGAGGTTCATAGGGTTTCTGGAGGCAAGCTATTTACAGAACTGGGTGCCACTCTTGCTTCCAAGCTTGTTTTAATCAGGGAGCTCCACCAAACACCATGGGTAACCATTATCATATTTGACACATCAGTGTCACAGTGTTCAGCTCCACAGCAACCACAAGTTACCTCTGTATAGCAAGTGGACACACCAGGGCTATACAATTAAAAATATGTGGAGACAAGTCACATTCCTGACACACTCCTTTCCTGATTTTGAACCAGGTAGTGTTTCCTTGCTATGATCTGATGACTGATTCCTGGTCCAATTACAGATTTTGCACAGGTACAATCATGTCTTCCGGGATTCCCATTCTTCTCAAAATTAGCCACAGTTTATTGCTATCAACACAGTCAAATACCTTTGCTTAGTCAATGAAATACAGTAGACATTCCTCTAGTACAATTTCCAGTCAAGATCCATCTCACATTGGCAATGATGTTCCTAGTGCCAAGGCCTCTTTAAACCCAGCTTAGTTCTCTGTCAATGTGTTCCTGTTGTGTTTGGATGATCTTCAGTAAGATTTTCTTGTAAATTATATTAGTGATGTTGTTTGATAATTTCCACACTCTGTTCGTTTACTCTTTTTTGGAATGGAAATAAATATGGATTTCTTCTAGTCAGTTGGCCAGGTAGTTGTCCTGCAGGTTTCTTGGTAACCTGGTAAGCATGCCTAGGGCTACATCTGGTTTTCAAAATATGTAAAATTGGTATGCCATCAATCCCTAGGACCTTGCTTTTTTGTAAATTCCTTCAGAACAGACTGAACTTCCTTCTTCATCATCATTCTTCTTTTTATTTTACTTTATTTTATACTGATTTATTTAAAAAATTTGAATAAGTGTTTTTCACAGAAGACCTTCCCCATATCCTTCACTATTTCTCATAATCATATGTTGTATCATGGAATTCTTCTGTGTCAGCCAATTCTTTTTGGTACAGTGACTCTGTGTACTCCTTCCATATTCTTTTGATGATTCCTGGATTGTTCAATATTCTGTTCATAGAATCTTTAAGTATTGTGACTTGAAGCTTGCATTTATTCTTATTGGCATACTGGAAATGTCAAAGAGGCATTATCCTTACTGACTATGTCACCAGAGTCCCCTAAGTATGAATACGTAATTTTTCCTATTAAGAATTCTAAGTGAACCCTACAGACAGATTAAGGAAATTTAATAGAAGAAGAAAAATATGATCCGAAGAAGGAAGTGATTTAAGTACAAGGACATTTTATAGAAAACAAATGGCACACACATAAGCCAAGAGACCTGAATCAGTAAGATAGGTGATAAAGATTTACCGTAGTTAAGTACATTGAACTGAGTGAAAAAGGAATATTTAAAGGGAGGTTGTCACTACATTTCTAGATCTGAGAAAAGTGGTAAGAATGAAGTTGTATCCCAGTCTTCTTAATATAAAAACTAAAGAAAAAAATTACATTAAAAGACGTATTGCGATGGGAAAGTCTGCTGTTAGGGACCTCTCCAAGTACTGAAGAGCAATGGTGTCTCTCTGAAGACTAAAGTGCATCTAATACAGGCCATGGTCTTTGCAATTACTTTTTATGCATCAAAGAACTGGACAATGATTAGGGAGGATAGAAGGAGAATTGATGCCTTTGAGCTGTGGTGTTGGAGAAGAGTATTGAGGGTACTATGGGCTGCTAAGAAAAGAAACAGATTCATCCTGGAAAGGGTTAAACCGGGCTGCTCCTTGGAGGCAAGGATTCTGAGGTTTTGTCTGACATACTTTGGACATGTTGTAAGGAGGGAGAGGTCCTTGAAGAGGGACATCACGCTTGGGAGCGTGGAAGGCAGGCGCAGGAGGGTAAGTCCCTTTATGAGGTGGATTGATTCAGTGATTGCGTAATCAAGATGGGTGTATCGGAGACAGTGAGATTGGCACAGGATAGAGCAGAATTTAGGGTTGTTGTACAAATGGGTCGCTATGAGTCGCAAGTGACTCGATGGCACATAACAACAACAACAACACAACAACAAAATAAAGAAAAAGAAATTACTGTAATCTAGTCTGTCATGAAAACCTTATGAAAACTCTTTGTGTGTTACGGAGTTGAGCTGCACCATGAGGGGGTTTTGCCTGTAATCCAGCAGAAGTATATTGATAGGTCATCTATTGTAACTCAAGCCAGTAAACTTTCAGTCAACCATGGAATACTTAACTGTTTGAGACATTCAGGAAATCTTAGTACCTTTAGTACCCTATACAAAATAATTCTTTGCCCATTGAAAAAATTATTTTCTTGTCATTTTAATTATTTAATAAGATAAGAAGAGGAAGTAAGAGGCTTCTAAATTGGCAAAGAGATGGTAAAATGTCACTATATGCAGACAATAAGATATTGTACATAGAAAATCCTAAACTCAGCAAAAAACTTTGTTAGACCAAGTAGACTAATATAGTAGAGTGGCAGGATTGTTGTTGTTATGTGCCATCCAATCACCTGTGACTCATAATAACCCTTTGTACAACAGCTCTGACCCCTACTCTATCCTGAGCCAACTTTATTGTCTCTGACACATATACCTCCATTACCCTGAATTCTGAATCAGTCCATCCCATTGAGAGTCTTCCTGTCTTGCGTTGTTCCTCCACTCTCTCAAGCATGATATCCCTCTCTAAGGACTGCTGTGGTGCTGGAGGAGAGTATTAAAAACACTATCAACTGCTAGGAGAACTAACAGATTCATCTTAGAGAGACCATGGCCTGGATCAGGTGCACCTTAGTCTCTAGACTAATATTGTTGTTTCTCAGTACTCTGGAAAGGAGGTCCCTGACAACAATGCAAATAATCTTTTGATGTTTTTACTGCTGGTGCCAAGAGTGTTAATTGTAGAGCCAAGCGAGCTATAACTTTTAACAACCTCAATTTTTTTTCTTCATCCACCATGGTGCTGCCAATCAGCCCAGTGGTGAGAATCTTTTTCTTCTTAATGTTCAGCTTTGATCTAATTTGAAGACTTCAGTTCTTGACCTTCTGCAACAAAAACTTCTGGTCCTCACTTTGAGCAAGCAAGGTTGTGTTTATCTGCATAATGTAGGTTATGGATGAGTCTTCCTCCAATCTTGATGCCACAGTCCTCATAAAACTTTATTTCCCAAATGATCTGTTCTGCCTATAGATTGAAAAGGTATGGAAACAGGACACTTTGCTGATGCACTCCTTTCTTGATTTGAACCCTGCTGTAGGCTTGTAAACAATTCTAAATGTACAACTAGGAGATGGTCAAATCAATGAATGGGATATCCTAAACATTAGGTTCCTAGGTGAATCAAGACACTTTTTCAGTATGGTATAAAGATAACCTACATACTGGGAAAAACGTTTGGCAATGACATCTCAGACAAGGATCTCATAACTCAAGCTTATAGAATACTTTCACAAGAAAAAAGACTGATAACTCATTAACAAAATGGGCAAAAAGCATGGAAAGACTTTTCACAAAGGAAAACACTTAGATAGCCAATAGACACATGAAAAAAGTGCTCAAAATCCCTAGCAATGAGAGAGATATAAATCAAAAGCACTGTAAACTACCAACTCAATCAAATAGCAGTAGCAAAGTTTGAGAGAACTGCAAAAAATAAATGTTGGGTAAGATATGGAGAGATTGGAACTTCCATGAACTGCTGGTAAGATAGTCAAATGATGTAGCCACTCTGGAAGATACTTTGACATTTCCTTAAAAAAGCTAAACATAAAAATCCCATATGATCCAGCTATTCGACTGCAAGTAATAGAACCTAATGAAAATGGAGCTTAGGTATAATGGAGACATGTAAATCTATGTTTATAGTAGTGTTACTCACAATTCAAGAAAATGAAACCAACACAAATCCCATCAACAATTAAGGGATTGAGAAACTGTGGGACATGCACATGATAGAATAGTATGCAACACTAAGGAGCAACAATTTTGTAAAATACTATACAACATGGGATAACCTAGAGAGTATTATGTTGAGTGAACTAACGTGGTCTCATAGGGAGAAATTTTGCATAAGATAATTATTTTAAAAATAAGGATAACTAGTAAGATGTGCATAAAATAAAAAAAAAGAGGAGGGAAGAAGGAGGCAAAAAATGGGGAAGAGGGAAATCACTGCGAAAGCAGATTTTGGGGGGTAGATAAGGAGAGTATCAGAATAGAAAATATCCAAGGGGGCCTGAAAAGATGGGGGAATAGTAGGCATACATTAGTGGTAATTAATTTTGTAAAGCACAATGTAGATGAACGATTTTATGAAACACAATATAAATGAAGGACTGTGTGAAATACAGTGTAGATGAATGAAAAATAACATATGCAAATTTTGTATGCAAATATACCATTTTTAAAAATTGAAAAATCTAAAAATAAATGCTCAGATTTAAAAATAAAGAAGTAAAACCCACAATCTGTCAAAACAAACAAAATTTCAAACTTCAAGCACAGAAATGAAATTTTAATTTTACATTTATCTGCACAGATGGTGTATGTGGCACGAAATGCCAAAGATGTGGCTGTCTCCTACTATTATTTCTATCAGATGGCAAAAATGCACCCAGAACCTGGTACCTGGGAAGAGTTTCTGGATAAATTCATGTCTGGGAAAGGTATGTACAATTCTTCCTTTAATTGTGGAGTTTCATAATGAAAGGCCTTTTGTGTAAAGAGATATAAGGTTCAAATATAAATTGCATATTTACTATAAACTTCATATGTGTGGTCATGCTAAGAATATGTAAGAAGAGCATATATCATCCCTTCCCTTAAAGAGACGTAATCTGTGGGACTTTGTGACACGTAGAATTCTGAGACAATAGTTTCAACATTGTGTTGTTGTTGTTGTTATGTGCCATATAGTTGCTTCTGATACACTGGTAGGCTATGCACAACATCGCAGAACACTGCTTAGGCCTACACTATCTTCCTAGTTGTTACTTTGTTTGATTCACAGTTGCAAACACTATGTCAATTCATCTTTATTAGAGTCTCATAAGCACTAACTTTGTACTTTATTAAGCATAAAATCCTTCTTTAGGGGTCAATCTGTCCTGATAATATGCCTAAAGTATGCAAAATAATATTTCCACTATCAACACTTCTAAAGAAACTCGTTGACTATATTTAAGACAGATTGTTCATTTTTCTGGTCTAAATCTTTCATTGTCTTTGAGTGAGATCTGAACGAGAGCCGATCTTTCAGCAGGTTTTCAGAGGCTGTGAATCGGAAGGGAAGAAATTGCTCATCTTTTATTTAAGATGAATGCAAACCATTTGCCTTTGGGTTGACAGAAAAACTGCTTCCCCACTAAGATACTAAAGCTCCAATAGTCTGATCTTCTTGTTATATGTGGTCAAATTGAATATGACTCATAGTGACCCTATGAACAATGGCTGTGAATCCTGTCTTATCCTGAGCCATCTTCACATTCTCTGACACATCTGACTACATTGCCACAGTTACTGTGTCAATCTATCTCATCCTGGGTGCTCCTCACCCAAGCATGATGTCCTTATCCAAGTACTGGCCCTCCTGGCCATGTGCCCAAAGTATGTAAGACAGAGTTTCGAAATCCTTGCCTACAAGGAGTAAACTGATTTCACCCTCTTCACCATAGATTTGCTTGTTCTTTTGATAGTCCATATATGCTCAATACTCTTCTCCAGCACCACAAATCAAAAGCATTAATTCTTCTTCTGTCATCTTTATTCATTGTCCAGCTGTCAGATGGATAAAAGCAATTGAGAAGACCATGGCCTGGATGAGGAGCACCTTAGTCTCTAGACTGACATCATACTCGTCAGCCTGCTAGAGAGATCCTTGACAGCAGATTGTCCCAGTGCAATTAATCTTTTGATTTCCTGAGTGCTGGTGTCAAGAGTGTTGATTGTGGATCTGAGCAAAATTAAATAATTTAAAGCCTAAATCCTTTCTCCATCTAGTTTGAATCCTATTGGTCTGGCAGTGAGGATCTGTGTTTTCTTGATGCTGAGATGCAATCCAAAATGAAGGCTGCAGTCTTTGGCCTTTTGTAGCAAATTTTTCAAGTCCTCCCCTATTTCAGTGAGCAAAGTTGTGCTATCTACATAAGGTAGGTTGTTGATGAGTCTTCCTCCAATCCTGATGCCACATTGTTCTTCACAAAGTTCAGCCTCCCAAAGGATCTGTTTCACATACAGATTGAAAAGGTGTGGAGAAAAGACACATCCCTGGTACACTCATTTCTTGATATTAAACCATTCAGTGTTCCTGTTCTTTGTTAGGACAACAGCTTCTTGGTCTAGGAATAGACAGGTAACAGTAGTATGTGGTAGATATCCAATATTCTTCACTAACACCCTGATTCAAAGACATACATTCTTTGGTAATCCTATTTATTGCCCAGCTTTTGCATGCATGGGTGTGTTGTTACATGCCGTCTAGTCACCCATGACTCATAGCAACTGGGTGTACAGTAGCTCTGAACTTTGCTCTATCCTGAGCCAATCTCATTGGATTCAAGACACCTACCCTATTTACCCTAGTTACTGTGTCAATCTGTCTTATCTGGGGTCTTCCTCTCCTGTGCTGTCACTCCACCCTTCAAAGCATGATGTCCTTCTCCAAGAACTGGTCCCTTCTGGCTACATACAATAGCTGGATCAGGTGCACACTGGTCCTTCTTAGCCTTCTTAACAATGTAAAGAGGTCTTTTGGAGCAAATTTTAACAGGGAAATAATCTGTTTCATTTATTGAATATTTTATTAGTGCCTGATTGGTACCGCAAAAAATTTCTAATGATAATAGTGGCTAAGAACTTAGATGTTAACCAAAAAGTTAATAACTTTTTTCCAAACCTACCAGCAACTTCAAGAGAGAGAGAAAGGTGTGGCTGGCTGCTTCAACAAAGATTTCAACTTTACAAGACAATGAGAAAAGTTCTATTCTGTCTTACATAGAACTGTAATGCATTAAAATTGGATGAACAGCAGTAGAATTTTGGGGAAGTTTAGTTATTGCAGCCAGTAAAATAAAACCAACTTACTCTCTTTGACACCCATGCCAATATTCTATTTTCATTTATATATTTCAAATATCTATCTATCTATCTATCTATCTATCTATCTATCTATCTATCTATCTATCGAGCTCTGGTGGCCTAGTGGTAAGAATCTGTGCAATCCTGAAGGAGTGCAATTTAAATCCACCAGTTGCTCTGTGGGAGAAGGACAGACAATCTCCTGTGCAGTTAACTGACTTCTGAAAACCTGCTGGAGGATCAACTGTGGGCTGGTTCCAACTCGATAGTACTCAACAACAGATACAATATAAAGAAGGAAGGATAAGATGACAATGAAGGAAGAAATTCAAGCTGCACTGAAGACATTGGCAAAAAGGTGCCAGGAGAAGATATGATACCATTTGAAATATTTCAAATGACAGATGCCACCCTGGATGTGCTTACCATTCTATGCCAGGAAATTTGGAGGACAGCTTCCTGGCCTACTGACTGGAAGAGATCAATGTTTGTTCCCATTTCAAGAAAGGTGATCCAGCAAAATGTGGAAATTACTGAATAAGTGAATCCTATCCTTGGACAAGGAGGCAGTCGTCAGAATAGAGCAAAGAAACATTGCATGGTTCAAAATCAGGAAGGGTGTACTCCAGGGATTTTTCCTATCTCCATACCTTTTCAATCTATATGTGGAACAGATCATCCAGGAGGCTGGAGTCTATGAGGAAGAATGTGACACCAAGATTCGTAGAAGACTCATCAACTACCTGTGTTATGCACATGACACAACCTTGCTTACTGACATTGAGGAGGATCTGAAGCACTTGCTGCAGAAGGTCAAGGACTGCAGCCTTCAATATGGATCGAAGCTCAACATCAAGAAAACAACGATTCTCACCAGTGGGTTGTTTGGCAGCATCATGATAGATGGTGAAGAGATTGAGATTGTTAACAGGTTTAGTTTGCTTGGCTCCATAATAACACTCTTTGTACTAGCAGCCAAGAAATCAAAAGATGAATTTCACTGGAAAAGTCTTCTATCAGGGACCTCTCAAGAGCACTGAAGAGCAACAATGTCAGTCTAGAAATTAGGGTTCACCTGATCAATGCCATGGTCTTTATTATGTGCTATAAGTCAGAAAGCTGGGAACTGATTAAGGATGATAGAAGGAGAATTGATGCTTTTGAGCTGTGGTGCTGGAGGGGAGTATCGAATATACCATGAACTGCTAGGAGAATAAACAGGTTCATCCTGAAGAGGGTGAAACCAGGCTGTTTCTTGGAAGCAAGGATTCTGAAGCTCTGTCTGACATAGTTTGAGCATGTTGCAAGGGGTTATCAGTCCTTGGAGAGGGATTTTATGCCTGAGAGGGTTGAGGACAGCACAAGATAGGAAGACCCTGGATGAAATGGATTGTCTCAGTGACTGGGGTAATGAGGGTAGGTGTGTCAGAGGCAATAAGGTTGGCTCAGGATAGAGCAGGGTTCAGAGCTGTTGTACATAGGGTCACTATGAGTCGCAGGTGACTTGATAGTACATAACAACATCAATAATATTACATGCAAGAAAATACTGTTGAGAATGATTTAAAAATGGCCAGAACTTTACATAGACAGAGAACAGCTAGACAGATGTTAAAGTTGGGTTCAGAAGAGATCATTGGGATCATTGTTGATGTCAGATGGATCCTGGTTGAAAGCGAAGCATATCAGAAGAATGTCTATTTGTGCTTTATTAACTATGTAAAGCTGTTTGACTATGTGGATCAGAATAATTTATGGCTAACCTTAAGAAGAATGGGAATTCCAGAACACTTGGTTGTGTTTATGCAAAACCTATAGCTAGTCATAAGTCTGTCTGAGCAGAGTGAGGAAACACTGTATGTTTTAAAATGTGGAAAGGTGTGTGTCAGCGTTGTATTCTTTATCCATATCTACTTAATCTATATATTGAGCAAATTATTCAATAAGCTGGACTCTATGAAGGAAAATGTGGCATCAGGATTGGAAAAAGGCTTGTCAGTAACCTGCATTATGCAGATGACACAACCTAGCTTGCTGAAAGTAAAGACTTGAAGCAGTTACTCTAGAAAGGTAAACACTACAGCTTTCAACATGGATTGTATCTCAATGTAAAGAAATAAAAAGTCCTCACCACTGGACAGATAAACAACATCATGATGTATGGAAAAAGATTGAAACTGTCAACAACTTCATCTTATTTGAATCCACAATAATGGTACTTAATATCAGCAATGAGAACAGGAGGTGCATTACACTGGGAAAGTCTCTAGTTAGGGACTTCTCCAAATTATTGAGGAGTAATGATGTCAGTTTGAGGACTAAGGTGCACCTGATTCAATCCATGATCTTTTCAGTTGTTTGCTATGTACCTGGACAATGACTAAAGATGACAGAAGAAAACTGATGCCTTTTGAACTGTTTTGTTGGAGACATACTAAAAATCATGAACTGCCAAAAGGACAAGTAGATATGCCTTGGAGAAGGTGAAGCCAAAGTGCTCCTTGGAGGTGAAGGTGATGAAGCTTTGCCTCACACAATTTGGGCATAATGCTGGGAGAGACTATTTGTTGTAGAAAGCAGAGAGGCACTAAAAGAGAGGAAGACCTTTAACCAGGTGGCTTGACATGGTGACTGAGGCAAGGGACTTGAGTGTTTCAGAGATTATGAGGATGGCACAGGATAGGGCAGTGCTCTCTACTCAATGATACCTAACAATACCTTTATGTTTTCGATGAACTGTGAAAGTTCTTTAATTTAAGACTCTGTTACTCGACGTTTCTTTTTTGAAGAAGCATAATCATGTCCATGGTAGCTCTGTTTATGTTTTGTACATGATTTTCACGTAATGACTTCTCATTTAAACACAGATATATTTAAATGACTGCTGAATAAACTTGGAAATTTATTTTCTAAAGTCAATATATTTAAAATAAGCTTTAGAAGTATCTCTAACCTGCTTTTCTCTTGAAAGTACTTTTCTTCTTATATTCTTCTGGTGGTATGAATGGGGTCCTGGTGGTTAATAGGCCATAGTACACTGGACTTCTAATAAAAAGGATTTACCACAGCATTTGGTGAATCCACCAATGGCTCCCTGAGGGAGGAGAGAGAGGGTATAGAGGAGATAAGTAGTTTTCCTCCATTAAGATTTACAACCATAGAAACCTAATGGAGGATCTCCGTGAGTCAGACTCAACTAGAAGACAGAGCTGGGAGCTGGGTTGTCTTTACTTTCTTTTATGAAGGTGGGGAAGATGCCAAGTTATTCTTCTGAAAACATTTTATATCTGCATCATAATTGCTTTAAAATGAAGTTAAATTGCACCGATTATCTAAGAACCACTTTGGGCATGATGCTAGGAGAGGTTATTTCTTGGAGAGGGACATATCGAAGGAGAGAAAGACCTTCAACCAGAAGGGTTGAACCAAGACAGTGATTGTAGCATTGGGCTTAATTGTGTCAGATATTGTGAGTGGCACAAGATAGGACAGGATTCAGATCTGTTGTTTCTAGGATCGCGATGAGTCATACTCTACTCAACAGCCCCCTAGCAACCACCACCTAAGAAACTGAATCCGTACTCTCGTCTATAAATGACAAAAACTCTACCTTTGTTACTGATTCACATTTCCAAACTTATTGATAAATATTGCCCTGTAAAAACGGAAACACTGATGGTTTAGTGATAGCGAATTATATTGCCATCCCAAAGGCAGGTGGTTTGAATTCACCAGCTGCTCCTATGTGATTTCTGCCTTTAAAAATCTACTGGAGGTGTCAGCTATGTTTCAGTGCAGTCCTGTTAAAATTTTTTCCTTGAGATCACTACATTTTCAAGCTATCTTGCATAGTTTTATATTTGCCTTTATTTCCACTATTTTATGTCTATAGAATATCATCCTTATTCTTATGCTGCCAAAGCTTTAAATGCCTTAGGCCCAAATAGGTTCTATCCCCTCCACACAACTTTCTCCATCCTTATGATTTTTTTTTCTCCTTATTCCTTCTCCTATAAACTTCCATGGAACTTTTTGGCTGGATTATCCATTATCTACATATTCCTCTGCATTTTTTAAATTTTAATAAAGTTATTTATGTACTTCTCTTACCTTTAATATACTTTCTTGAATTAATAGGTATCAATAAGTGTGTGTTGATAACAATTACTTATAATAATATGTTAAAATTCCTCATTTGTTTAAATAGTAAAACATTTTAAACAATATTCTTCTGAAATTCAGTGTGTTTTGGTTCCTGGTATGATCATGTGAAAGGCTGGTGGGAGAAGAGAAAAGATTATCGTATTCTTTACTTATTCTATGAAGACATGAAAGAGGTAAGAGACAACAGAAATTTCCTCTTTATTTTTTAATAAAAATCTCAGTTAATAATTATTATTACAAAATTTTTGTATGTATCCAATTTTTTTCTACCACTAATTTTTACTACATAGTTGTGACCTCCTTCTAATCTTGGACTATTTCTTCTTTTAACCTCTCAGAAAGAATAATATTTTCAAATACTAAAATCAGAGTATAACCATTTATAGTTTTAAGATTCTGAATTACTTCTGTTTCTATACAAAGTAGAAAGTTATAAGATAATCTTATTGGCATTGATTCGGAACTGACCCTCCAACTGGTTTTCAGAGGCTGTAAATTAGACCTGAGGAGGTTTTTCATCCATCTCCTAGGGTGCAGCTGGTGGATTCACACAGGCCTTTTTTTGAGTTGGCAGCACAACTCGCTATGACTATACTATTAGCACTCATATAATCTGCTAAAGTTGGCATGATGGCTTATATTTTACATACTTCTCCATTTTTTTTTTGCCACTTTTTAATTTCTCACCAACTCTCCCCTATTCATCCTTTCATATTATGGTTAGATAAACAGACAAATCTCTTCCTATCCTTAAAGTCTTAATTTAAATACCATCTCTACACAATATTTTTTTCTGACCACAATAACAAATAAATTTTCCTGGTATTGTTTTCTATAGCCTCCTTAGTTTTTCTGCTACACCAAAATTTTTAATGATTTTATGTAAATGTTTCTTATTTTCTATTGGTGTACACTGTAATGTCCAAGGCACTTTTCTCAATGCTAAGCATAGCAGAAAGATGGTGTAATTTTCTTATTTAAACATGTAATTTTATTTTCTTATATTTCCTTGATTACTAGTATAGAGATATAACTATCTAATTTGATTAAACACTTATCCTGATCTAATTATTTAAATAATCCCTTTATGAAGTGTTACCTATCTCACAAATGTGTTCATATTTTCTCTTAGATATATCTCTGATAGCCTATCTATACAGCTTTCTCTTTAAGTTGTTGCCTGAGTGTACGGTAATAAGCAAAACATATAAGAAGACATCATGAGAGTGAAGAGAGAAGAAATGTCAATAGACACTGACAATCTACAGAGTGATTTTTCTTTATACTTGAGTTTTATGAGATAAGCTAGCACTCAAAATCAAAATAATTTCCACTACATTATCATAATTAGAATCTTAACAAATGAATTGTCTACTTAATGATTACATATGCGTGAAATGATCTTTTCTTTCTCATTCTATCAGGATCCAAAAGGCAATCTTCTTAAGTTGTTAAAATTCTTAGAAAAAGACCTCCCGGAAGAAATAGTGGATAAAATCCTTTATCATAGTTCATTCAATGTGATGAAGCAGAACCCAAAAGCAAATTATACTACTATGGAAACATGTGAAATGGATCATTCTGTGTCTCCCTTCATGAGAAAGGGTAAGGAATTAAGCAGGTTTTGTACAACTTAAAGTTTGTTGTACAAACTGTAAAATTAACTTGTTCACCAATAAATTTCAGTTTTAGAAGCCATATCACATTGATTAAGTAAAATGTTGCATCCCGTATTATTTTAATTATTATCAAAATACTATACACCTGCGAAACAATGAATGGACACAAGTTGAGTCAATATTCTATTATTGTTACATGCTGTAAGGTCAGAACTGACTTGTAGCAGGCTTTAAGAGACTGTAAATTGTATGGAAAGGGATTATTCATCTTTCTTCCCTAGATCATTAAAATCTTTGGATCAGCAGGACAAATGCTTACTCATTAGGTCAACACAGCGTGTTCTTTCCTCTTTTCTCTCCTCTCCTCTCCTCTCCTCTCTTCTCCTTTCCTCCCCTCCCCTCTCTTCTGTTTCTCCACTGGGTAAGGGAACCTGGGTGAGGGCAGCTGGGCAACGACCAGCTGCTGAGAGGAAGACAGACAGCTGAAATTTGAGTAGGAACTCCACTCATGAGCACACTTGGACATCTGAAATCCCTGAGTGAGGTCCCTGCAAGTGGCTAACCTGCCCCCATGGCTAACCCACCCCACCCAAGCCTGCCCCACCCCCCATTTGGCTCCACACTTAAAGAACTCCTTAAGAAGAGAAACAAGGCATCTCACTCCCTGATTTAAAATCCTACTATACTGCCTTGGTGGTCAAGACAGCATGATACTGGTGCAATGATAAACACATAGATCAATGGAATAGAATTGAGAATCCAGAAATCAGCCCATCTACATATGTATGGTCAACTGATTTTTGGCATGGAGATGAAATTATTTAAGTGGGGAAATGACAGCCTTTTTAACAAATGGTCCTGGCAAAATTGGAAAACTATCTGTAGAAAATTCAAGCAAGATCCACACCACATTCCATGCACAAAAACCAGCTCAAAGTGGATCATGGATCTAGGACTAAAACCCAGGACTATAAACTTCATTAAAGAAAAGCTTGGAAGAACTCTAGAAGTCCTAATCCACAACATAAACAGTCTTCCAAGCATCCTGCAAAATCTACAACCAGGAAAGGATAAAATAGATGACTGGGGCCTTCTAAGAATCAAATCCCTATGCACATCCAGAAACTTCTCCAACAGGGTAAAGAAGGGAAGCCACAGACTGGGAAAAAATATTTGGTAATGACATGCCCACCCAAATGACACAATCTTGTTTGAAGAGAGTGAAAAAGAATTGAAGAACTTACTAAAGGAGATCATACAGCCTTAAATATGAATCACATCCCAACAGCAAGAAAACAAAATCTTCACCACTGGACCAATAGACATTATCATAACGGAGAAAAGATTGAAGTTATCTATGATTTCAACTTACTTGGATCCATAATCAATTCCCATGGTGTCAAGAAATAAAAAGATGTGCTACATTTGGGTCAGACACTTTTATAAACCTTTTAAAAGGCCAAATTTAAAGACTAAATTGTGCCTGACCTGGTCAGAATTGACCCATAGCTGAGCTTCCTGCAGATTATCAGAGGCAGTTAATCTCATGGGAGGAGACTGCCCGTCCTTCTTCTGTGGAGTGACTGGTCGCCTTGAACTGCATGCCTTCAGGATTGCAGCACAGCTTCTTGCTACTAGACCACAAGAGCTCCCCAAATTATGCTATTTTCAACTTGTCCCTAAGCATATGAACACTGGAAAATAAATAATGAAGACTATAGAAGAATCAATACCTTGAAATTATAGTATTTATCTACAAGGAGTATTGAATATACTATGAATCTTAAAGAACAAACAAATCATTCTTGGAGAAAGTACAACCAGGGCACTTAGAAGCATCTCAGATACTTTGTACATACTTTCTGGAGGTACTAGTCCTTGAAAAAAGATACCATGTTATGAAAGACAGACATAAAAGAGAAAGACCATCAAGGAGATTGATTGACACAGTGACTACGCCAATGGCCTTGAACATGACAGAAATAATGAGGATAGTGTAAGACAGGACAAAGTTCTGATATCTTGTTCATAGGGTTGTAATGACGCATAGTTGACTTAAAGGCAGCTAATAACAACAAAAATGTCAATAAGTCTGAGGTTAAGAAATGCTGAAAAAATTGACCAAGTTATTTTGGTATGATTTTTTCCCTTTTATCTCATACTAAACATGAATTTCCAGATGTGTTTTGTTGGTGATCTTGTGACATGATCTATGAAAATAGCATTGTTATCAAATATTCATCGCAAACATTATGTCATATATTATCTTTTCAATACTTTTCTATAATTTGTCTTTTGAAGCTTGAAAAATACGCTTAATTCAGCTAAATGGAAAGCATTTCCCAATCTTGATTAATTATCTTTTATTAATTTTTAGTAAGATAAACTATCATCTAACTTTAGAAAATATAACTAAAATGGATTAAAACTCCTCTACATCTTTCTTTGTTAAAACTCTTAAAGCCAAAGTCTAAGAGTTTTGAGATGTAGGGCTTTCTCACCGTGGCATTTCTCAAAACTACTTATATCCTTTTGTATGATGCTGGAAAATGCTATGGGCATTTGTGCAAGCTAAGAAACCCTCAGCGTAATCTGCTGAGCTGCTAAATGAAAAGTTTTGATGGTTAAAACTCACCAGCCATTCTGCATGAGAAAAGATGGACAATTTCCTTCTGTAAAGAGTTAACATCTTCACAATTCTATGGAGGCTTGCAAGGAGTGGGAAATGTTTGTATGAACATGGATTTTTGTTTGTTTAGGAAGGTCTTGGAGCCTGAGATCTGTGTTAGGCAGTGAAGAAGAGGGCTATGGAGTAGATGTTATTGTTATGTGCCACCAAGGAGACAACAACTCATAGTGACCCTATGAACAATAGCTCTGAATGCTGTCCTATCTTGAGCCAATCTCATTGTTCCTGACATGTTTGCCTCCCTCCATTACCATAGTCAGTTTGTCAGTCCATCTCATCCAGAATCTTCCTTCCCTGAGCTGTCCCTTGCGTCTTTCTCCAATGACTTGCCCCTCCTGGCAACATTCCCAAAGTATGTGAGGCAGAGTTTCAAAATCCTTGCTTCTAAGAAGCAACCTGGCTTCACCCTCTCCAGGACAGATAGACTGTTCTCTTGGCAATCCATACATAGTATGTGCAGTACTCTTCTCTAGAAGAGTATGATAACTCAAAGGCATCAATTTTTCTTCTTCTGTAATATTTAATCATTCTATTTTCAGCCTAATTTTTATCACCAAGCCCATATTTTCCACCACTATTCCTTCTTCACTGTTTCCAACTTTTGCATTCCAGTCACCAGTTATCATTACATGCATCTTGATTGCATGTTCAGTCATTTTTGGACTGCAGGATTTAGGAAAATTTTAAATTTCTTAATCTTTAGCTCTAGATGTAGGAACATATATTTGAATGATAGTTGTATTAATATTAATGGGCCTTACTTGTATGCATATGGATAATATCCTATCACTCACAACATTGTATTTTAGGATAGAATTTGAAATTTGTATTTTCAGTTATTTATTCATGGCAAGTACCTTTTTTGGTAAGGCACAAGCAATGACTTTACACATCAACTTCACCTAATGGATGACATAGGAATCAGATTGACTACATCTATGGAAGAAATTGTTGAAGAAGTTCAATATCTGCAATCAAAACTAGGCCAGAGTGAACTGTGGGTCAGATCATCAATTACTAATGTGCACGTTCAAATTGAGGATGAAGAAAATTAAGGAAGGTCATGAGAACCAACATGATCTTAAATCTATTCCATTTGAATTCTAAGATCATCTGATGAATAAGTTAGAAGCATTGGACATAAATGATCAGAGACCAGATGAGTTATGGAATGATATAAAGGATATCATCCATGAAGAACGTAGAAGGTCATTACAAAGACAGAAGAGAGAGAAAAAATGGAAAAAGATGTCAGAAGAGACTCTAAAAATTGCACTAAAGCATTGAGAAGCCAAACCAAAGGGAAAACATGCAAAAGTAAAAGTGCTGAACAGATTTCAAATGGTAGTTCAAGAAGACAAAGCAAAATATTATAATGAAATGTGCAGAGTGCTGAAATTGGAGAATAAGAAGAGAACATTCTCTGCATTTCTTAAGCTTAAAGAACTGGAAAAAAATTAAGCCTAGAGTTGCAATATTGAAAGATGTTATGGGCAATATATTAAATGACCCAAAAGCATCAAAAGAAGATGGAGGGAATGCATAGAATCACTGTGCATAAAACAAAATAAAACAAATAAAACCACAGACCAAAAGTGACTAACATTGAAAAATTTCAGGAAATACCATATGAGCAGGGTCCAATGGTAATGAAGGAGGAAGTGGAAGCCACAAGTGAAGATATTGGCAAAAACCTGAATTTCCAGCAATCAGTGAGATACCAATTGACTTGTTTTAATTAAAAATGCAGCCTGGATCCACCCACCAGTCTATGCTAGGAAATTTGGAGGACAGCTACTAGCCAATGGATTGAAGAGGTCCATATTTATTGCCATTCCCAAGAAAGGTGGTTCAGATCTGTTGTTCTGAGTTGTAAACTACTTGGCGGCACCTAAAAACAACAATCTTTAGTCATTGTCTATGCATAGCAAGCATTGAAGAGATCATAGCCTCTATCAGGCACACCTTAGTCTCTATACTGACACCAATGCACTTTTGAGAAGTCCCTAACAGCAGACTTTCCTGAACAAATTTGTCTTTTGATTTTCTGACTGCTAGTGCCTTGAATGTTAATTGTGGATCTGAGAAAGATGAAATTGTTAATAACCTCAGCCTCTTCTCCCACTATGATAATGCTGCTAACTGGCTGAGTGGTGAAAATCTTTGTCTTCTTTATGTTGAACTTCAATCCATATTGAAAACTGTATTTCTTTACCTTTTGCAACACACATGTCAAATCCTCTTCAGATTCTGTGAGCAAGATTGTGTCATGTGCATATTGTACACTGTTTATGAACCTTCCTCAAGTCACATTCTGCATCATAAAGTTCAGCCTCCTGAATTATTTGTTCCACATGTAGAATTAAATAGTATGGAGAAAGTACACATCCCAGACACAGTCCTTCCTTGATTTTGAACCATGCACTGTTGCCTTGTTCTGTTTGTATAATGATTTCCTAGTCTAAGTGAGATTCCTATTCCTCTCAAGGTTAGCCATACTTTGTTGTGATCCACACAGTCAAATCCTTTTCCATAATCAATACAATAGACAAATAGACATTTTTCTGGTATTTTCTGCTTTTAGCCAAGATTCATCTGACATTGACAATGTTTGATAGAATGTTGTAAAGGTGTGTTTATTGTTGGTTTTGGTTTTTGTTTTCATTTGCTTTGTTCTTACCTTTTTTTTTTTTAGAGAATAATAATTAAAAGTGAAACTGATTTTGGGAGAGAAAATTTACAACAGTAAATCTACCCTTTCAGTTTTATTATTTCATTTTCTTTTCAGGTATTTCAGGAGACTGGAAGAATCAGTTCACTGTAGCTCAATATGAAAGATTTGAAGAAGATTATGAAAAGAAGATGAAAGGGTCTACACTGCAGTTTAGATCAGATATCTAAACATACTTCATCCATATCAAACTTCTGTATCTTGCACCTAAATGAAAGAAAACAAAACAAAAACACTTCAGGCCTCAATGAAAGAGATTTTGCATTGATGCTTCTTTACATTTATTAGTGGTTTATAATACGTTAGTCAAGGAATTGAAAAGTCTCCAAAGGGGGGAAAAATCAATAGTGTCTCTGAGTTTGTCTGCTTTCCATTGTGGTTTCCATGTTCTTAAAACATAAAGAAATTAAATTTATAAATAACTATAAGAATATGTATTTTGTTTTTGAAAGAGGGAAAAGTAAGTTCTTAGTGTTTTACAAAAATAAAATCTTTAAATTTTTAATATAGATTAGAACAGTAACAAAATGTCTTCTTCAAAAGATTTTAATCTCTCTCTGTTGTAAGCTTTCAATGATATCATATAAGATCAATGACCAAAAGACCTTTTTGTGCACAAAAAAGAAAAAAAATCACTGCAAGTTAATGTTATAGACTAGAAAACTAACTTTTATATATTTTATTCATCATCATTTTCTTTTTTACGCTGTGAATAGTTTTAGGATCAGTAAAGCCTAAAAGTGCTTGTTGTTGTGTACTATCAAGTCATAACTAACCAATAGCTCACCCTCTGGCAGGTTTTCAGAGGCAGTCAATTGCACGAGAGGAGACTGTCCGTCCTTCAGCAGCTGGTAGATTCAAACCATGAACTTTCAGTGGTGCAGTTCAGCTTCTAGCCAATAGGCCACCAGAGCTTCCTAAAAATGCTTAGGGTGAACAAATACTTGGGATTGAGTGGTCATAGGAAAAGTTAATGGTAAAAAAGACAGAGAATTGTAAAAGAAAGCAGACATTGACATTTTCTTTGAAATACACCAGGACAATAAGTATCCTGAAGCCTTTCTAGAAAATGGAAAAGAAAACTTATGACTGATCTGTGGAGACTTGGTTAGTGTGTTGGAGAAAGAAGTAGTAATGTACTGCCATAAAATTTATAGCTAGAAAAACCCTTTGGGGAAGCTTTACTCTGTCACATGAGTCACAATGATTCAGAAAAAAATTAAATAAATAAATAAACAAACAAACAAATAAATAAATAATTCAAAGATATTTAACAACAGTAACTCTTCTAAAAAGAGATCAGCATAATTGAAAGAGAAGCCAGCTATAATGGCAGCTCCCTTGGGGATAAAATTAGTAAGGTTGTGAGCTAAGCACTTTCTGAACATTACCATCTGGCTTATTAAGAGTACTACTAGATAGTCTACCTTCTTTTCATCACTTCTCAAAAAACCTTTGCCATTGAACTAAAAATTTGTTTTCAGTAATATTAGCAACAAAATACCAAAAATTCATAGTTTTAACTACAGCTGAAATAATGGACTATCTACATTACACTCATTATTCTTTTCAATTTATATAATATTTCAGTGAGCTAAATATGACATTATCTCAATTAAACAAAAATTAAGTGTATATAGCTCTCCAAAGTACAAAACAATGGCCATCTGAATATAAATACTCAGAGAATAGGGCAAAGTTCAGGTATGTTTTTCACAGGGTGCTATGAGTCATGATAGGCTTGATAGCACCAGATAACAACAATTACCTTTTGCTGTACAAGCCCATGTCATCCTAATAAAATGCAGTGCTTTACAGAAAAGAGTCTGAGAGTGGAGAAATTAGGGGTTTTGGTCTAGCTACTCTAATAACAAAGCAGATAGTATCTTCAGTTTTCAGCTCTTACTCACAATCTTTAACATAATTGATCCAAAGTGATCACAACATGAAAAGTGAAGGGAATTTAAAAATCACCAGTATTGACAGCACAATTCCTTACTGCTAAGCTATTAGAACTCAACTACAGTACAAAATAGAGTTAATTATACAACGAGTATCCATGGCACGAGAGAAAAAAGGTGTGAATGGAAATAGAGAGTTCTTTGTTTTTGCTCTTTGACAAATTTTCAGAGAAGGTTAAGAATGTATAGTCAAATGGTTTTAAATATCTTGTTCCTCTTTGCTAATTGCAGTAGCCATATTGTCCTTTCATTAATTCTTCCCAGGTCCATTCTCCCTTGTCCTAATTCTTTACAGTGTTTATTGACTGTACGTTCCATTTTTGCTCTCTCAATCTCTATCACTCACTCCCCAGCCCCTCCAGTTACCCTCCTATTTTCACAGTAATTGTCTTGTTCAGTATTTGTGCTTTTGTTACTGAGATATTTTACTCAGCCTGATGTCCTCTAGACTTGCCCATGTTGTTTACTAGTTTATGAATTCACTGTTCCTTAGATGCTGCATGAACTGTTTCCATTTTCTTGCTATTGTGAATAATGTTGCAATGAACACAGCAAAAGGAAAGGGAAGGGGAGAAGGGAGGATGAAGAAGAGGGTGGGGGTGAATGAACCACTAGGGCAGTAGAGATTGGTGGACTTACAGTAAGGGAGTGAAGGAGTATGGAAGGAACTTTGAAGATTTGATGGATGTGGGTGATAAAAGACATTGATCAATAGCATTAATTATATAAAACACTACATATATTAAATGTATAAAACACAATATATATGAATGAAACACAATATATATGAATGATTGTATGAAAAACAATAAAAATAAAAGAAGGGAGAAATAGAAAAATTGTGATTATTAAAAAAATGCATCATTTTTTTCTATGGAGAAAGCCACCATATTTATACATACAAACAACATATATGAAAGGGCCATCTGCATTTATATCCTAGTTAAAGTTCATTGTTTATGCATAAGTTGGAGCATTTTTAAGGTTTCTATTAAGCCAATTTTGCCAGTTAAGCTGTGATCAAGTCAGAGGATCTGAAATTAACTCCAAATCTACTTTTTTACTTCTTAGAATTTACAAAACCTTAAGATTTTCCATAGAATTCCACTGTGGACACTTCAATAGTAATAAACTTTTTACAACCAGATGAAAAGAAAATTTTAGTTTTATCTTTTTAAATAAGAACAAATACATTCTATAGAATATAATGAAGCCAAACATTATCATTTGTTCTGTATTTGATGACAAAAGAGTAATTTTAGAAAACTCAGTCTTTATGAATCAAAGTTTGGATGTTGATCACAAAGCTTTGTAAGTCAAACAATGATTCCCATACATTACCTAGGCCTTTCTTTTTTCTTTATTTTATTGATTTGCTTAGTATTCATAATACATTGTGTTTCACAGTATTATTCATTCACATTTTGCTTTATACAATCATTTCATTCATTGTTATATAAAACTAATATGAATAAAGAATAGTGTGAAATAGAATGTATATGAACTTTGTGAGCAAACAAAAAGAAAATAATAAAAAATTTAAATGTCATTAATAAAAGTTCATAAACACACAAAAAACTTTTGTAGGTCCAAGGTCTCAAAAAAGGTTAAGAATATATCTTCTACTACATTGAAACAAGTGAAGGTGTAAACTGTTTAAAAGGGCGGGGGGGGGGGAAGAATATATCTTCTTCTAAAGAAGTTAATGATGGCAATAATTTTCAAAATTATTTCAGTATAAAGTTACAAAATAGGTAGAAATTGTTCAACTCTTAAATATCAATTACTAACGTGAAGATTTAAAAATTGATTATATAATATCTTGATTCACCTGGTTGCATATAAGGAGACCTGTTGCATAGTAGTTTGAGTCTTCATCAGGTAACTAAAAGGTGAATGATTCATACCTACCAGCCATTCTACAGGAGAAAGATATGGCAGTCTGCTTTCATATAAGTTACAGTCTAGGAAGCTCTATAGGGTAGTTCTAGTTTCTCTTCTGAGGTCGTCTGAGTTGGCATTGACTCAATGATTTTTTTTAAACTTGTGATAACTACAAAGAAACATATTGCACCTAAAACACTAAATACTTTAGAAATAGTCATAGGAGCTCTGGTGGCTTAGTAGTAAGGAGATGTACTACTAACAGATAATTTGAATCCATTAGCTGCATCATGAGAGAAATAAGAGCTATCACTTTCCAAGAAATTGATTCTCTGAAAAGCTACTGGAGTGTCAGCCACCAGTTGATTCCAACTAGATAACAAACAACAACATAACATAACAACAATGTAAAACATAACATAACATAACAAAAAAAGTACAAACTATTAATAATTCTTCAAACCTACACAAAAATACAGTTAGCCCAATATCTGACCCAATTAGATACTTCATCAGACTGACCAGCATGATCACAAGAGACTAGGTAAGTATTTGTAATGTTGTAAAGCTCAGGCAAAGATAAGAAATGCAGTCAGGTAAGAGATTTTAAAATTCACATTGCATTTTAACAAAATACCATATTTGCATATTAGTGATGTGGTTTATGAGATTTCAAGACAAAGGTAAACTGCCTTAAGACAACTTTTTTGTTCTATTTTTGAGGACAGGATGACATAAGGAGAAATTCACTATCTCACAATACTAAAGAGAAGAAAAGAACTAACTTCCAGCTCCACCTGTTTCTTCAATTACTTTGGCATAAAGAAAAAGGACAATGTCACAACTCAAGTGCTTTAACTTTTAAGTTAACAGGAATAGTTTATTGTTTTGTACTTTTTTGAGTCAGTACTTGTGTGTTGGTCTGGCTCCCAGGAAAGCATTTTTTCTTATCTCTGCTTAATGTGTGTGTGGTGGGGGGGGGGGGGGGAGAGGGAGAGAGAGGGAGGGAGGGAGAGAGAGAAAACGTGAGAGAATGTGAGCATACGTATATATGAAATTAAGTTCACTTATCAGGGAAGATGAATTCATACCTCAATAGGTGAGTATTCATCTGTTAAGCAAAAGACTGATAGTTCAAACCTACTTTCTTGAGAGAAAGATCTGGAAGTTCTTCCACTAAGATTATGGACTAGAAAACTATTCGGACTATTCTATTCTGCTACATGGGATTACAATGAGTCAAAATTTAGTAGATGGTATCTAACAAAAAACCCCCAGAAATATCAGGCACATCTCACTATATCGAATTAAACTGTTTCTTACAT